CAGTATGCGATTAACATCAAGTCCGAGCTTCGCGGTTTCAACAAGCGATTGGTCTCAGTCAAGGACTTCGTCTGGGTATATGGAGTCAAGCCCACGTTACAAGCGCTCCGAAATCCTCATGGAGTTCTCGCGCAGGCACGCCGTCCACGAACATCGGCACTGGAAGCCAATTCGGTATACTTCTTCAGGGTTTCACATTTTGTTTTCGTTACCCCACAACGCTTAGAAAAACCGATTTATGGTATGAGTCTACACCCTCTCGTACGGAATGACCGCATCCAGTCCTTCAAGGCCGCCTTTGCCGGGGCTCCAGAGTTAGTTGTAGTCTCACCAGTCAACTGTATGTTCGACATCCAAGACGTGAAGTCCTACGAAGTACTCATGGCCGAATCCCGACCCAATATCTCGTGTGCCATGAGGTTCTCAGAACCTCCTGTATCTATTCAAGCCCGCGACTTTCTATGCCAGGAAGTTCGTCGCTTCCTTCCGATGAATCCGGACGAGGGCGTACTTCCCCTGAGGGTAGACCAACCTGATCACGAAGAAGAACAGTGGCTACAGGACCGCGAAGGTGATTTCAATAGTCTGCACGAAAATCCTGCACTTGCGAAGCAGAAGATGTCCAACCTATGCAATGCTGCATGTTCGGCCCTTGGAGCGGCGAAGCGACTCACTGACGATCGCCAGTCCCATTGGGTTACGGCCACCGTTCCCAACAAATTCGCCTACCCCATCCTGCTCCAGTTTCGCTTAACAGACATGGCCTGCGAGGCAGGATGGACCTATAATCGCCCCATCGCGCTCCTTATAGGAGGATCGCCACAAGTCTCACACGCGACGGTTCGATCTGTGGAGGTAAGGGCGCAAGAAAAACTTTTAATCGTCACCGTATCGGCCTTTCCCTGGTCGCATAACGCTATCGCACGTAACGTCGAGCTCTTCTGCAGAAATCTCGACGTCACTACGGTTGTAGACGTTTGCGTCCGCTTATGCAAGCCTTTCGCCGCGTCCAACCCCGTGTATGACATCATATCGCGCTACAGCGTGTATGAGCGGCTAGCGCCAGGAACTTCGGGTGACAGCGTAGTGAATGTCGGATACGGCATTGGCCCACTCGCGTGCGCTGGAGCAAATGACCCGGTCCTATACGATCCTAATGACGCGCTCCTTTTCTGCACCCTCAATGGCAGACGCATTGAGCTCACACCGGATCAGCAACTGGCCACCGCCCTCGGCCTCAGCCGCCTTCCG